GCCCTGGGCCTCTTTAAATATACCTCGAACCAGGTGGTGGCACATAACTGTAACCCTAGACTGTAATCCTAGCACTCATGGGAGGCTGAGGCAGAAAAACCCCCGAGTTCAAGGCCAGTCTGAGCTACATAGTGAGTTCAAGGTCAGCCTAAACTACACAGAGAGACCCTGTCTCCAAAAACCAAAAACAAAAAAAGAAAGAAATGCTGCTCCTCTACAGATGCATGCTTTGATAGCACAGTTTCCCGGTGCAACTTTGCAAAGCAAGAGAAAGACACTAGACTCTGCAGCTTCCTATGTGCCTAACAACATTTGTGTTCTGCCAACAGATGTGCTGCTGACAGTACCCATGAGAACAGTCTCTGTAGTGCTGGATTTCACCGGGCAGATGTTGAGGAAGGGCTTGTTACACAGACAGCTGCCATCGGCAGCGCCCTGGACCCTGGGATTGGCCGTGACCCCTCCGGGCTCTGGCCGCTCTTTCCCTTGTATGATCTTCCCTAGTGGGCTTAGCAGCTCAGGGGCTCCAGGCCTTCCCTGTGACGGTGAGGATGCCAGTACGTGGAGGAGGTGCCTGGAAACTGGATTTCCCAGGGAGCAGGAGAGGGTGGGCCTGCCACTTACTCCTGTGGCCCCTGGCGCCCACATCCACAGCATGCCTGTTTTCTGTGCCCTGGCTGATTGAACTTCCTGTGCCCCAGCAATCCAAACGAACAGTGTTCTGTGCTTGTTCTGGCCAGGTTGGAAAGAAAAAGATATGGTGGTGAAGGAGTATTGTGTAATTACTTATTGTATTTGCTACTTTTTTCTGTTTTTGCAAGAGGCAAGTTGTCTTTGAATAAATAGGGCTGGGAGCTTATCACAAAGAAGGCATATGTGTTGTACTCAGTACATTCTGAATTATCTGGTTTTATTTTTGTCCCTTGGATTTGCTTATGAGCAGTTCCAAGGCAGCTTTTGAAGCTAACACATAGGAAGCAAGAACCTCAAGCTACTTTGTCTCTCTCCTAGTGGCTGTGTTGCAGGGACTGTGACGGTGAAACAGTAGTGTAATGGATGCTGCTCACATATACGGAGTGTATCAGACATTGATTGTTGGGGGTTTGTTGTTGTTTTGGCTTCTGACCATGTGAACACTTTTTGTGTTAAAATAATCCCCCAGTATGTGTATCTTTTAGCCTAAAGCTGAAGCCAAGGGCTTGAGTTAACTCTTTTTACATGTTCCATGAGGCAGGCTCTCCACACCACTTCAGTGCCCAATCACTAGGGTGGTTGCAGGGTGATGGTTGCAGCTCTAGCCATTGTAGCTACCTATCCAGGTAAGAAGTAGAGCACAGGACCAGAGCAAAAACACATACAAAATGGCACAACCTCCAGGCCCCTCAGTAATTTCCATCTTCACATCCATCTCTTTTCCTAGACAGAACAGGGCCCCAGAAGTGCAGTAGCTACAACAGTAATCTATTGCTCACCGTAGGCCTGGGTCTTCTATCATTCCAGGATGCAGAGGAGAGGGATAGCTGGTGGCAGGGCTCGTGGGCCAGGCTGCCCTCGGTACACTGGCTCTTGAGGGATGGGGAGGACATAGTTGTGTCAAGAAGCCCGCAGCGGTGCCAACACGGCAATACGTAGGGTTGGGTGGTCCCTTCAGTACAGCTGCCCAAGCTCTGCTTCTGTTGCTTGCAGCCCAGGCTCTTGGTGCAATATACAGTGTCTGGGCATGGCACAAACATCCTGTCATCAGTTTCCCTCAAGTGGAGTCAGAGGGCTGAGGCTGTTTGAGCCAAGTAGCTTCCACCACATAGCTGATGAACTCAGCCATCTCTAACCTCGGTGTGGCCTCAGATCTCAACACTGCCTTGGTGTTGGGATCCTCTGGTTAGATTGGATGTGGATGATAACAGTGGCAGTTTGGGAAGTAGCTTGGCTCTGTGTCACTCAGGAAGTGGGAGGGTAATTTGGAGGCCCTTTGGAAAAGGCTGAAGAAGGGCAGGGCAGGACTGAAGTGTTTGATTAAGGGAACATTGGGTGCGGGTGGCCATCCAAGAAGTTAATGTAGGCTTAATGACTGGTGGGCAGTGGACACAGACCAGCTAATCAGCCAGTAGTCACTGGTTGTGGGTGGACTTTTAAGCATCCTCCTGGATCTGGACTTGAGCATAGCCACTGTTACTAACTTGCCACTGGTCATAGCTGCTGAGCAGAGACATGAACGGAAGATTCAGACAAGGTGCACATCGCCAGTGAAGATAGGAGACACCTCTGCCGCAATTTGAAAGTGAAACCAAAATGACTTAAAAAGGAGAAGGACCTGTTTTGGGGATCCTACCCAAACTGCACCAGACCCACCTCCATGTTGCATCCAGGGAGGCCTTTCCTTGTTGGCTGGTGACACTTGTGCATAGTACACGAGCTCAGAGTGTGAACTCCAGAGCTCAGCTCATCTGAGTGTGATAGCACTCAGGAGGCTGAGGCAGGGAGATGGAAGGCCGGCCCGGGCTACACAGTGAGACCCTGTCCCAGGAAAACTTTAAAAAAGAATCTCCCCCCCAAAAAAAGAGAGGAGTAGTGCTTTATCTGAGGTTCCTGTTGCTCTGGTGCCACACCACCCTGCCCCCTAGGGCGAAGCTCCCCCTCGGTCTTACAGATGTTCCTTTTTTTGTTTTTTTGCAGAACCAGGGATTGAACTCAGGCCCTTGCGCTTGCCAGGCAAGTGCTTATTCTACTGAGCCATCTCCCCGGCCCCCTTACAGGTGTTCTTTGAGATGTCCATGCACAGGCCGACACAGCTGACCTGATGTATTTCCCTGGACCTCCTTATGACACGGTTTTTTTCTAGGAATGTGTCCCTCTTTTGTGAGTCACTAAATTGACTAACAGAGTTTTCTGTGTCATCATCCTTTAAGCCTTTGCAGCAGCTGGAGTTGTCTCCTCTTTGATTCTGTTGTTGACTTGTATTTTTTTCCCTTTCTTCCTAGTCTTAGTAGACATCTGTTTATTGTTATTAGTATTTAAAGAGCAAACTTACAAGGCTGGGGAGATAGCTCAGTGGTCTAAGTGTGTGCCTGGCAAGCACAAGGACCCGAGTTCAATCCCAGGTACCACACCATGCTGGCCCTAAAACTGGGCATAGTGGGTGACGCACACCTGTAATCCCAGTGCTGGGGAGGCTGAGAAAGCAGGATCACTGTGAGTCTGAGCTGCATAGACTTATAGGTGTTACTGTCCTGTGTTGCTATGTTCAATGAGTATAATATATTCTCTCTTTTTTTTTTTAGAGTAGAATATATTTATTGAGGGAAAGAAAGCTCCTGTCCAGTAAAAGGCTTAAGTCAATAACTTCTGAGGATAACCCACTACTATTATAGACTGCTAGACAGTGTTGGATTGTTTAGCTGAATTCAAACACCTATAGTAGATGCCAATAGAATACCCAGGTCTCACGGGACTAAAAAAAATTTTAAGAAGGGATACAAAGAAAAGATCTTTTTGTATTCATATATACAAAATAGGATAGCTATACATCTACTTTTGCTTAATTCAATGAGAAGAAAGAGGTGTACTGATAGTGTTTGGACAGGATATCCTGTCTGCTTCTTGTACTATGGATAACTACTAGAAGATAACAATGTACAATGTATTGATTATCGAAACTGTCCTATTAATCAGCTTTGAAACTGTCTTATTCATATTTATTTCTCAATAAAAAATTAATATGCAAATAAAGTAAGACTAGGTGAGATAGCAAAAAAAAAAGAAAGAAAGAAAGAAAGAAAGAAAGAAAGAAAGAAAGAAAGCTCCTGTCCAAGAGAAGGACAAAAGGGGGGGCCTGAGTGGGTTGTGCCAGTATATTCTCTTTTTGTTCTTCTGAATTCTTAAGTCATAAAGTTTAACCTCACTGATTTTCAACATTCTTTTCTTGTTTTTTTTTTCATTTCTGTATTTGGTACAGGGTCTCACTATGCAGCTCGGGCTTAGTGGTCTTCCTGCTGTCAGCATCCCCAGCGCTGGGATTGCAGCCGTGTGCCAGCACGCCCTGGGAGTGGGGCCGGTGGGGCATGTGGGACTGGAGATCGGACCCTGCTCCCCGCCCTTGCCAAAGCAGGTGCTTAGTCCGCTGAGCTATTTTGGCAGCCCCCAACATTCTTTTAAGTATTTAAGGTTAACCCTCTGAACATACTTGAACTGCACCTAGCACGTTCTGAGGTGTAGTGTGGTCACTTTGTCTGAGGTCTTTGGGGGGCCTTAGAGGGGAGTGTTTTGTGAGACAGGGTCTCGCTGTGTAGTGCAGGCTAGCCGTGAACGCACTGCGCAACCCAGGCTGGTCTCAAACTCAAGGCGATTCTTCTGTTTGAGCCTCCTGAGTGCTGAGACTACAGGTGTGGCTCACCACGTGCCTGGCTGCTGGGGGTTTGTGGGTTTTGTTTGGAGATATTTCTGTAGACAGGGTCTCCGTGTCTTGCCTGGGGTACCAGCCTCCTGGGCTCGAGTGATACTTGTGCCTCAGCCTCCCGAAGAGCTGCTGCTACGGACGGGCACGCGTCACTGTGCTGGCTGTCATATGCGCGCTTTGACTTGGCTCAGCGGGTTTTTAAATTTCTTGTGCAGAGCTGGAGGTTTAGCTTAGTGGTATTAGTGCCCGCCTAACTGTGTCTACTGTTAGGTGGTGAATTCAGTCCCTACTAGAGAGGACAAATATATATATACATACATACGTGCGTGGGTATGTGTGTATATGTATGTATACATACATTCCTTGTCTTTCTAAATTACTTAGAAATGTGTTTTTTAAGCTTCCAGCCTGAAGCCTTTACCCTAGTCTGTTTCTAAGCTGCGTTCTGGCCTGCTAGCCCTGTGCTTAGGACTAGGCTTGGCCTTGGCCAGGCCAGCTCCTGCCCTTGCGCACTGCCAGTGCACAGAACCGCCATGGCCACCGTGCTCGTCATCTCCAGCGGGCCGCACCTGCTTGGCGTCAGCCACTGGGAGCGTGTGCGAGATCCGCCGCACCACTCACCTAGCCGTTTCTCCACGGAGCTTTAATTGTAGTTTTCTTATTCTGAGGCCACAGTTTCAGTAGTAGAAAAGTTTCTCTTCTTGCTAAATTGAACCACTCAGTATTGTGAAGTGACTCCCTTGTCACCCCTAACCCCTGCTTGTGCCTCGGCTTTTCCTTCATCTGATGGCAAGAGTGCCACATCACCTGTGTACCATGGCTTCCCTGGCTGCTCATTTTGCTTACCGGTGCATTAAGATTTGTACCATTTTATTTTGTGCAGTCTATTTTTTGGGCTTTTTCTGTGTTTTAAAATTTTGTGCTCTTGGGGCTGGTGAGATGGCTCAGTGGTCTAAAGCACCTACTTAGAACAAGCTTAGCTAAACAAAGCACAGGGACCACGGTTCAATCCCCCAGCACCACATGCCAGCCAGCCCCGCCCCCTATTGGGCTGAGCCGGCCACACACACACACACACACACACACACAAATAAATAAATAAATAAATAAATGTTAAAGAATAAAAAAATTTTGTGCTCTTTCATACCTTGATTGTTTCTTTTTCTTTTTTTAATTAATTTTATTGAGAAACAGCAATGAGACAGTTTCAAATCAGGTTAGTAGGACAGTTACAATAATTAATACATTGCATATTGTTGTCTTCATAGTATTCATAAAATGCAGACGTGATATCTTGTCCAAACACTATTAGTACAAATCTTTCTTCTCATTGAATTAAGAGAAAGTAGCTGTATATCTATCGTATTTTGTATATACAGATAGATATATATATATTTCACTACAAAATGGTCCCTCATTTGTATCCCCCTTTTTTGTTTAGTTTTGTCAGAGATGGGTATTCCATTGCCATTTAAATATTGTAGGTGCGTGAATTCGCCATATTAATATGCTGAGCTGTAAAAGGCTCAAGTCAACAACTTCTGACATTGCCAGTCCTATGGATAACCCACTACTATTATGAACTACTGGACTATAGTGGATTATTTCGCTGAATCCACATACCTTGATTGTTTTGTTTGGTGGTGTTGCTTGAGGTACTGTGGATTGAAATCAGAGACACTTCACCACTGAGCAGCATCCCCAGCCCTATTTTAAATTATTTCATTTTGAAATAGGATTTCACTAAGTTCCCCAGGCTGGCCTCCATCTTGCAATCCTGCACTTTCAGTCTCCTCAGTAAATGGGATCACAGGTGTTTCCCACATTGCCTGGCTTTGAATTTTTTAAAATTGTGATTAAAAAGTCAGTTGTGGTGGTACACACATGTGATCTCAGCACTTGGGAAGCTGAGGCAGGAGCATCACCTTGACTTTGAGGCCACCGTAGGCAAGCTCAAGGCCAGCCTGAACTGCATAGTGAGACCTGGTCTCAAAAAAATGAAAAGTAAGGGGCCGGAGAGATGGCTCAGTTGAATAAGTGCTTGCCTGGCAAGTACAAGGGCCTGAGTTCAATCCCTGGTTCCGCCAAAAAAAAAAAAAAAAAAAAAGAAAAGAAAAAGAAAAACAAGTAAATAAAACTGATAAAATACACATCCCTTTTAAAAAATAAACTCGACATGGTGGCACATGCCTGTAATCCCAGCACTTGGGAGGCTGAGGCAGGAGGATTGCTCTGAGTTTGAGAGCAGCCTGGGATATGTAATGAGTTCAAGACCAGCCTTAACTACATGGTGAAACCCTGTCTCAAAAAGACCAAAAAAAAAAAAAAAAGCCCACAAAACACTGATCTCTGTGTCCTTCCCAAGTTGTCCCAGCTGATAATGACATTCCCCTCATGGTGAGGCCTATGTACACTGTGGGGAGACCTGGTTAGAAGCAAGGATTGTAGCTTCTTAGCTTTGCCCTGGGAGCCAAAACTTTTACTAGGACATTTACAGTTCTCAGACATGAAAGAGTACACCTAACTTAGGGGCTGAGCATTCAACACAGACCCCACAGCAGAGTCCAGCGAGGCTCGGGTCCTGGGATGCTTGTCATCCTGGTGATTCCCTGCATGTCTACTGCAGTCTTTTAGCTGACCTTGGGGAAGCAGAGAAGTCAGGGCTGAGGTAGGCTTTACTAAGGAGCAAGTATGTCCTTAGCTCCAGGAACCCCTGGCTTTCGGAACGTGGTCTCAGGCTCAGTCCCTTTGAATGTGTGCCAGGTGTCCTGGCCAGGGGGTGGGCCTAGCTAGCCATACTCTTGAGGCTTTGGGTTTCGGCTGACATCCCATTAGGTGGCGACAGAGAGCACTAAAAGAAGTGGGAACTGAAAGTTGCAGGGAGGTGGCAGACTGCACCTGCCCATCCTTTAGGTCTCGTCTCCCTGCTTCACCCTCTGCACCACCGTCCTGCTCGAGCACTCATCTCTCTCTGGGACCCTGCACTGTCATGAGCTTTCCTGCGCATTTCTGTCTTACCCACTGGCTTGCTTTAAACCCAAGTAGGAGCCCTACCTCCTGACATCGGGCCCCTCGTGTGACCCCTGCCCTTTGTAGTTCCTTCCTCACTCCTCACACAGGTCAGTTCACGTGTCCCTGTGCCCACAGCTCAATGCATTCTCCGCAGCTCTCCCAGGATCCACCAGTCCAACAGCAGCTGCATGTAGCTGTGCTCGGGACAGAGGTCAAGCTGCAAACCTCAGCTGCCTGAGCCCACGCAGCTGCATCCAAGGCTTGCTCACTGCCCTGCACGCACCTCCTCTGCTGAAGATTCGGGGCCAGGCTCATGGCTCTGTCACTGTGTTGTAGCCCTTGTGTCCCGCAGGTGTCTTATAAATGACAGCCCTCCTTGTCCCTGGCTCCCCATCTCCTTGACTACCTCCACTTCAGTGACCTCAGCCACCCACTATGCTATTCACAGTCCAGATTTTGTCATCCCTGGAAATTGTTCCACCCACGAACTCACACAGACAGCTCTCCCTTTGATGAGGACTTCCTGCATACTCCCCGGAGCTTTGTCTCCTTTCAGAAATTGTGCTCATCACCATGCGAACATGTTGGGAACTGCTCACGGACAACAAGACCTCATGAGTCTGCCCGTGTCGTCCTCGGCCTACAGTCTTCAGTTACCCCGTTAGCCGGTATCTCCTAGAAGCCCTTGTGTTCCCTGAGCCTTTCTCACCTCCCCCAGGGCACACTGCCAGGGCTTGCTCCCCTTGGTTGCAGGAAGTGGTCTTCCCCAGTTCTGGTAGAGAGCCCCCTGGTGCTGTGGCTGCTAGCAAGTGGGTTTTTGTTTGTTGCAATGCTAAGAATGGAACCCTGAGGGCCTCTTGCCTGCTGGCCAAGTACTCTGCCATCTGGCTACATGCTTAAGCCTTTTTGATTGACTTTATTAGGGGTTTTCTTTCTTTAACTTTTATTTGGAGACAGGGTCTTACTAAGTTGCCCAAGGTGACCTTGAACATTTAGTCCTCCTGCCCCAACCTCCCAAGTACCTGGGATTACGGGCATGCTCTCTGAAGCCCAGAAATTATGTGTGACCAAAGCAAACTTGAGTCCTCCTCTTTTGGCATGCTTTTCACGCCTCAAAACCCTTGTCACAGGTCTATGGACCACTACAGTCCCACATAAAATATACATTGCCCGCCTCGCCTAACGTGACAAAATCAAAAGATCACGTGACCTCTGGTTGCAACTGCTGAGAATGCCCTTTCAGGCCGGGCACCCTGGGGCTAGCATCACCCCCAGGGTCGGCTCTGCCAACCCTGCTCCACCCAGTCCTTCATTCAGTATCTGCATGAGTGTTTGTCCTGGAGACCCTGTGTCACCAGGTGTTACCTACCTGGCCCCGAGCCACAGGGTGAGAGGCTCTTGACAACGGAAGCCATCATGTCGGATGTCAGAGCTGCCCACATGCAGGATGGCATAGGCAATGCAGGCTGTCCCAGGGGGCCAGCCTGGCAGCAGGATTTGGAGTATTGTTCCTGTTCCTCCAATCATTTGGGTATTTGCCAGTCGCTTAGCAGCCTTTTTTCAACCCCAGCTTTTATTGTGATAAGATACACATAAAAGCTGAACAAGATGGTGCCCATCTGGAATCTCAGTGCTCAGGAGGCTGAGGCAGGAAGATCACAATTTTGCACCCTGCCTGGGCAACTTAGCAAGACTTTATCTCAAAATAAACGGGATGGGAGGGTTGCAGAGAATGCAGCTCAGTGCAAAGACCCTGGGTTCAGTCCCCAGTCCCACAAAAGAAGAAACAGACCCCAACAGCGTGAAGTTTACTGCAGGGAAACAGAGCTGTCTATTTCTTTGGGGCTAGCCTCAGCTGCAGGCCATGCTGTCCAGCACAGTGCCCTGGAGAACAAGGTTCCATGGAACCACCTCCTGCTCTGACTGCTTCCTGTGCCTGCTTTTATGAATGCCAGCCCTGTGGCCCAGCACCCTTCTGCATCCCCTGCTTGACCTCACAGTTCAAGGGGGCCTCTGATCAGAGACCCTAGAGTCCAAAGAGGAGCTCACTTCATGGGTGTTGCAGTCTGTGTGGCTGCCCAGGGCTCGTATACTTGATGTTGGAACGAGAGGCCCAGGCTTCTTACTGTACGTACTTCACCCAGGGACGCCTGGACCTGGCTGGGGCTTGGGCAGCCCTGCCCTAGCTTCACTCGCTGCCTTGCTTCTCCTGGGCGCTGCTGCCATTCTGGCTTGGGCCTTTGGCCAATCCTCTCCCTCTCTCCCCTCCCCTCAAGCAGGGGTCTAGCTTGCTCTGCCCTCCCCATGCCAAGCGTGATGCTGTAGCACTCTGTAAGCCTCAGCCTGGCCTTCTGATGTTTCCTTCTTGAGTCATGTACTACTTACTTCCTGCCCTGGTGCCTACAGAGGCGTTTCTGTCACTGAAGCTGCACTGTGTAGTGAGTTGGGCCTGTCTTGCTGAGCAGTGTTCTCTCATCGAGCTCTGTGGATCTGCGGATGCCGCATCTCTGTGTCAGGTCAGTTCTGCACCCTTGACAGCGTCTGTCGCATGGTCCACTTCTCTACTTGAGGGCCACACTTCCTTCCATTGGGTTATCTGTGCTGCTTCCAGTGCTGATAGCCCTACTGT